TAAGCGGATTTTCATAGCGTGTTTTTTCGTCCTTCCACCTTCCCCCGACCGGGTTCATCGAATTTCGATGGCGTACACAGGCGCTACGGTCCGTCCCGATTTTCGTATAAAACCACTTTTGCGGCTGACGGCGGATCAAAATCATTCTCCTGTCGTCTATAGTTTCCAACGGGACACTTGAAATCTACGTCGAAATCGATTAAAAATTGTTCGCCGTCTCTGTGAGATATTTCAAATAAATTCTCGCCTTTGACACGTTGCTGAAGTGTCACCACTGCTAAACTGCACTTGCCTCTTCCAAGACGTCTTCGTTTATAGTTTTATAAATTTTTGCACAGAAAACACAAACTATGTACATTCGTGTTACGAAGACAGAACAGAAATATTATAAAAATGCAAGTTCACTGGTATAAGAGCTAAAAATTTGGGCAAGAAATGAGATACTGATTGCAAAAGTAGCTTTTATCAACAACTATATGTAAAGATGACGCAGTGCAATGTAGCGCAAAAGCGAAGGAAAGAATTTACTTCGCAATGAAAATGCACAAATTCTAAAACTGTAAAACTGTAAATCTGTACATTGATGTCATAAATCCGACAATCGCTCATTGGCGTGCAGAGATAATCAAAATAATTATAATTCTTAAATTTAAAAACTATGTCCAGTTATGGATTCAAGTTTTTACATTCTAAGCAATTTCTTCAACAAACCATGTTTTTACATTACTTTTCTAACAATTTAATAGTCTCTTCGAACGTGAGAAGTTCATTCGTACGACGCGATGCGACATTATCGACAGAAAAAGGTTTCGTTTACCACGCAGTCGCGTTGAGCAGTGTATCAATTTCAATGACACCGTTCGAGCATGCAACGAGTAGTTAGTTATTTAGATCGCGATTGATCTTGTCCCTCAAATTGGGTCGACAGAGTCGTCGGCATAGCCGTCGCCAAGCGGCGGCTTGTAAACATCCATAGAACATTAATGGTGCTGAAAGTTATCCGGTGGTCCGATCTGTAAACCGTCCTTCCCCTCGATTCGTCCACGCAAGGACGAGCAGCCGCCCCATAATTTACTCGTTAGTTTTTCGTGGTCCCCGTAGGTTCGCTTCCATTCATCTCTTCTCCCGGTCCCCGGTCTCTCCTTTTCGCATCTCCTTTTCTTCTTCCGTAGAGCTCCCGTGGCAGTTCGCTGTTTCTTTTCCTGCTACGTGACAGCACGCTACAGTATCTTAATGTCAATTCAACGTGGCTTGTTTACCGCTTCCTCCCTGTTCTCTGCAAGGCATTTTCATTCTATCATCTCGATCAGCTCGGTGACGAAATAGTAAGGTAAATAAACGTACACATATACTGTGCATCGAGCATGATAGTTGCAGCATTGTTAAGGTTCTACACAATGAGGATACCTAGTTTCTAGTTTCTAGGTAGACCTCGTACCAGGAAAACTGAGGATTTTTCACTTTCTTCCAACACTGTCCCCCATTCACACTTCATAAAGCGACTGTGTGTTTCTTCTTGTTGCAATTACCCCTGTGCAAGAACAGATAAATATTAAGTAACTTTCGCATTACTCAGTTACTGTTGGATTCAATGGGGAACTAGAGGTACTTACGAAGGATTTCTTACGAAATAACTGGTCACATAAGTAGATGCTGTATCTTCTTACGTGTTTCTCAAACGTAAGATGCAAGGAAAGCATGGTAGTTACAGTATTGTTAAGGTTCTACACAATGAGGATACCTAGTTTCTAGTTTCTAGATAGATCTCGTAGGGAAACTGAGGATTTTCCACTTTCTTCCAACACTGCCCCCCACTCACACTTCATAAAGCGACTATGTGTTTCTTCTTGTTGCAATTTATTTATTGTTGTCAGTCTTCGTGTTAGCCCTGTGTAAGAACAGATAGAAATATTAAGTTGAGTAACTTTCGCGCGGTTCACTTACTGTTGGATTCAGTGGGGGACCTTATCGAAGGATTTCTTACAAAGCAACTGGTCACATAAGTAGGTGTTGTTTATCTTCTTACGTTTGTCTTTCAAACTGCATAGTTCGAAACCGGCGAATTTCCTTCGAGCGTCGTTTTAACAAACGTCGTTGATCATTTTCACGAAGTTTGAAATAACACGTGACGGGGTAGGCAGACGTCGTCGACGAGTCGGCAGCCAGAGCTCCGATTTTTTTTCTCTCTCTCTTTCTCTCTCTCTCTCTCTCTCTCGCCCCCTCCCCCCTCTTTTCTTTCGTTTTATTCCACTTCCTCCCCTCGCGGCGGTAAAAAAATTTCAAGTGGCAGCGCGAGCGAGCGAACAGGAGGGAGGGAAAGAGAAAGAAAAAGACGAGGCCGGGAGAGTCGGGCGAGAAGGAGAAAGAAAAAGAGAGAATGACAAGAGAGAGAGGGGTGTAGAGTGGTATCCTGCAGGGGAGCGCGGAAACGGGTGCTCTCTCGAGGACCGGTCGCCATCTTGCCGTGAGTACAGTCATGCACAACACCTGGATGCGAATCGGGGTTACCAATACTACTACTGCCATTGATATCGATTAATCCTTCTTCCGAGACACGAGCCGCCGATTTGTAATTTGCTGTTGCAATCGAGATCACACTGAACTCGCCTTTCTTCATTCTGCGAGCAGGAAGTTCAGCGTCTCCGACTGCATCTTTTTACCGTGTCCAAATGACTTTGAAATTGATTCACGTATCGATTGGTTTTCCTCTTCGTACAAATCGTAGACGAATTCTACTCTGTTCAGGCAACTGCGGAGGGGAAGAAATAAACTTTAAAATTATTTTTCTTCTCAATACAAATCGTGGATATGCCACTCGAGTTCGTGGTATATTTAACTCTAGAGATCTGATCAAATAACTATCACTCTCAATGCTATCCCCCGAGACAAAAGATTCATCCTTTAAGCATTAATCTTGAGGAAAAAATCAGTGGCCTGG